TTGGCACTTGATCAAGATAAAAAGCTTCTGCACAGTGAAGGAAACAAATCAGCCATGTTAAAAGGCAGCCTATAGAATGGGAGAAGATATTTGCCAATGACATCTCTGATAAACAGTATCCAAAATCTATAAGGAAATTATCAAACTCAACACCCACAAAACAAATAATCTAGGTAAGAAATGGGCAGAAGACATGAATAGACATTTCCTCAAAGACATACAGAAGGCCAAAAGACACATGAAAAGATGCTCAACATCACTCATCATCAGGGAGACACAAATCAAAACCACGATGAGATACCACCTCACACCTTCAGATGGGCTAACCTAAACAATACAGGAAACAACAGATGCTGGTGAGGATGTGGAAAGGGGAACCTTCTTACACTGTTGGTGGGATGGCAAACTGCTGCAGCCACTCTGGAACACAGTATGGAGGTTCCTCAAAAAGCTAAACATAGAACTACCCCTGGATCCAGCAATTGCACTACTAGGTATTTACCGAAAGGATACAAAAATACAGATTTTTGTACAAAGAGGTACATGCACACTGATGTTTATAGCAGCATTATCAACAATGCCAAACTGTGGAAAGAGCTCAAATGGCCATTGATTGATGAGTAGATAAAGAAGATGTGGTATATATACACAATGGGATATTACTCAGCCATCATAAGGAAGGATACCTTGCCATTTGCAGTGATATGGATGGAGCTAGAGCGAAATAAGTTTAGAGAAAGATACATACCATATGATTTCACTCATATATGCTATTTAAGAAACAAAATAGATGAACATATGGAAATGGAGAAAAGAGAGAGGGAAACGAACTATAAGAGACCTTAATGATAGAGAGCAAACTGAAGGGTGATGGAAGGAGGTGGATGAGGGATGTGCTAAATGGGTGATGGGTATTAATGAGGGCACTTGTATTAAGGACGAGCACTGGGGGTTAGATGTAAGTGATGAATCACTAAATTCTACTCCTGAAACCAATATTTCACTACATGTTAACTAGAGTTTACATAAAATTTTGAAAAATAAATAAATACCCTCCAGTAATTCCCCCCAAAAAAGAAAAATTTGAAAGAAAAATTTGTTAGATAAAAGAAATAAATGAATGTAAAATGACTGAATATGAGAAAAATAAATGAACTGATGAAGATGATTATAATTTTTAGTTCTTTGTTTGAAACATTGCTAGTTCTTTAAATTTTGTTTTCCAGATTTAAGGAGATCTATACTTTTTTCTCATAAGCTAAATATATACCCTACAGTAATTTGGTAAATTATACCTTTGTAAACAGAATTAAGTTTCATTTATCTTTTTTTCCTACCTACTTAATCCCTTCAGGATTTTGAAACTCTTATGAAGTATTTTTCTTTAGACTATAATGAGATGCATAAACTCAACAAAAATCGATTCTCCTTGTAAGAGGACACAATGGACACACTGGTTTTACAGCCACAGCTTTGGCTAAAATGGCATAGTTTGAAATGATGTGCACAGAATTGAATATAACCAGTTTTTAGGGGCACCAGGGTGGCTCAATCAATTAACAGTCTGACTCTTGATTTATGGCTCGGGTCATGATCTCATGGTTCCTGAGATCAAGCCCTGCAATGGAGCCTTGCTCACTGCCAGCAGCCGAGGAGTGGGGGGTGAGGGGAGGGAGTGCACAGGAGGGCAGGATTCAGCCTTAGGATTCTCTCTGCCCTTCCCCGCTTGCACACACATGAACCCCCCCCCCTCTCCAAATCAATAAATACACATTGAAAAAGAAGAAACTAAGGTTGGCTTTATAAAGGAGCCAATAAAGGCCTACGGAAACTCTCAGTATTTTTCTTGTAGGTTTCCCAGTCTTACCATTTGAGGAAGAAGGGTCATTACCTGGCAGTCCCACAAATATCAAGATATTTCCAAACTACAAGAAAGAGAAAAATCACCCAAATCTATAGGTATATGACATCTAGCAAATCATTGGCTTGGCTTCCTAGCCTCAAGAGGCTTCTAAAATTCCAATCTAAGAGTCCTTGTAAGAAATTTTAGCAAAACAGACTTTTAAAAAGTCTGATCGGTTACTATTTTCATTGTACTTATGTAAATAACCAAGCCAAGTTTAATAAGACTAGACTAATTTTACAAACAAATTAGTCTGTGATTATTTTTTTTATAAAAATTGGAGTAATTGTGAATAGGAAAATTATGTTTCAGTAAAAACTATTACGCACTCTTGTGAATATCAGATTCTTGTCCTGTTCATTGTCTTTGAGGTTTTGTTATCTACCTGTAAACTGGTCTAGATTTTGAATTTTTCTTTAAAAAATGTTTTTAATAGTTATTTATTTTTGAGACAGAGAGAGACAGAGTGCGAGCAAGGGAGGGACAGAGAGAGAGGGAGACACAGAATCTGAAACAGGCTCCAGGCTCTGAACTGTCACCACAGAACCTGATGCGAGGCTTGAACCCATGAACCATGAGATCGTGCCCTGAAGCAAAGTCAGACACTTTAACCAACTGAGCCACCCAGGCGCTCCTAGATTTTTAATTTTTCTAGATTCCTGTTTATGACTCTCCAACTTGCTCACACTCTTCTTTTTTGTTATTTTTAACAATGCTAATTTATTATTTTGACACAGGGATAGAGGGGCAGAGAGAGACACACACACAGAATCCAAAGCATGCTCCAGGCTCTGAGCTGTCAGTGTGGAGCCAAATGTAGGGCTCAAACCAGGAGATCATGACCTGAGCCAAAGTTGGATGCTTCATCAACTGAGCCACCCAGGTACCCGCTCTCACTCTTTTGACTTGGCATCACTAAGAAGAAAGACGGCCCTTCAACCTCTGAGAAAGAGACCATACCAGTTCCTCTTCACTATATACACAATAGCCAGATTTCAGGGCCTTGAATCTTGGGTCCACATCTTCTAATTAAAGAAGGCCCCTGGGTCACCTTGGTGGCTCAGTCAGTTAAGGGTCCAACTTCGACTCAGGTCATGATCTCACAGTTGATGAGTTCAAGCCCTATGTTGGGCTGTGTGCTGGCAGTTCAAGTCTGGAGACTGCTTTGGATTCTCTGTTTCCCTCTCTCTTTCTCCGCTCCTCTATTTGCACTCCATCTCTTTCTCTCTCAAAAATAAGTAAAACATTAAAAACTTTTTTTCAAAGTCAGAAAAGTAACAGAGAGAATAACCAATTTAAAGAATCTGAATTTGACATTGTGGCCCATGATTACCACACAGAGATTCCGAAAAACCTGTGAGAACTCCAGGGTGATATCGGGGAGTAGTGCATTAATGTGTTAAATTTTTGATGACACCTCTCAGGCTGAGAGTCTGATTAAAATGGGGGTAATTGGTAAAGACAAGACAACAGGACCAAAATGGAGTTGCTTATGCTACACCCCTCACCCCCAACCCCATCACCAAAATAACACTTAACTTACTTAACAGTTTTGGTAACTTACTTGCATTTTGGTCTCCCAGAAATGGAATCTGAAACCAGTCAGTTCAAGAACAAAATTCAAATTTTAAAGATCTAATTGGCCCTATTCAGTGATTCAGAAGTCAGGCAATATCCAGTCTAGTAGATAGAAAGAAGCCTCAGAGAGCCATGCGGGGCAATACATTTTATAGACAGAGGGGAACAGAAATAAGAATATTACACAGGAAAAAAAGGTGGATTGGAACTTACAAGGCTACTTTTTTATGAGGACCCAGGGACTCTCAACAGGCCGGTTACCTAACTAATGCTGATTAGGAAATTACTGATGGTTTAATATTCTGTTTGGGGACAGCCAAAACTGCAACTAAGTTTCAGTTTGGTGACGTGAGGGGAAGAATAAGGGGGCCAGGGTAGGGTTGACACTCTGACTCCATCTTGCAACAGCCACTGTTCTGTGAAATCCTTAGAAGAGCAGAACTTTCTTGGAATCATGATAAGCATCTTGAGGGTTAGACACCAGAAAAGTCCTCCCATCTCACAATACTGAGCAAAAAAGGTCAACCAATCGCTGAGCAGCCCATGCCAACGGGAAATTTTCCTCCCGTGTGGGTTTAAGCCTTAAAAATACCACCTACCCTTGTCCTCTTCAGACGGGCAAGCCAACTGAGTTGGGTTGCCTTTCCTGCTTTGCAAACCTAAATAAAGATTTGACTCCGTTTTCCTTCCTCGTTGGCTGGCTCCTGAGGTTTTTTCTTAGCATAAGATCAGTGACCCTGTTTTGGGTTCTTTGCCTTTAACAAGTCAGTCAAGAATTTCCTGATTATCATGAGTTAGGTAATCTACCTGATAAAACCCTGGCATCCCCTTAAGGAAAGTAATATTGCAATCAGCAATCTACGTTTTTGCCTAATCTAAAATTTTCCTGTTCCCTTCTACCTGTGAAATCTCTAGCATTGTATAGTTCTTCTAGCTCCTTCCATTCTGTCTGCTAGACTGGATGCTGCCCGACTTGGGATTTGCTGAATAGGAGCCAAAAAAAAAGAACTTTAAAAGGCATTCAGGATTAAATTTTTGTTCAGGGGGAAAATAACTAGGGGCCGTGGGAGGGTGAGTTTCGAGTGCCTGTGGCTGGACACCAGCAAGTACCCCTAGACGTGGTGGTGATGGGGAAAGAGGTTCCTGGAGTCAGGAGCGGCCCCCATAGTAGCTCTCCCTTTGGCCAGAAGAGGCCCGGTAGATCTTGGTGCCCCCGCGTTGGATCCTATTCTTCCCTGGGGGACCGAGGCCTGGAGGGCAGCCGGGCACAGACGCTGGAGGGAATATGGGCAAATTGGGCAAGGCTGATAGAGCTCTGGGGCCTGACAGGGCGTTGGAGTGGAGGGCAGGCGTCCAGTGGGGAAGAGAGGGTTGCTGAGGACGCCTCAGGCCGCTCACAGGAGGCTGAGCACTGCGCTGGCGCCAGGGAGAAGTCGAGACGTTGGCCCTCCCAGCTTCCTAGAGAGGCCGCCGAGGCCCGGGGCGGCGGTGCGCGTGCGCGACCTGGGCGGCAGAGAGTTGGACGCTAGGCCACGGCCCCTGAGCCGGCCGTGTGGCTGGAGGACTGGCTGTCGGGGACCCGGGGAGTCGGTGAGCGGCCGGCGGGGCGCGAGGGCGTGCGGGGGCACCCGCTGTGCGGGTGCACGGCTCGGGAGGGCGGCGGGGGCGCTCGGCCCCTCCGGGGGCGGCGGGGGTCAGGCGGCGGGGGGCTGGCTGAGGCCCGGCCTGGAGGCTGCGCCCGGGGCGGGTGGTCTGGCGTGTCTGGGACCCGGTCCCCGCTGAGGTGAGGCGTGTAGTCTGGAAGCGCTTTGCAGCTCTGGGCAGAGTTGGGAGTAAAGGCTTCTGTGCTTTATCCTTTCTCCCAATTATGCAAACAAAGCACACTCATTAGGGACAATTAGATGACGTGGGTGGGTGCCAGAAAAGTGAGAGTAACCGCAGTCGGCAAATAGTTTCGTCTGACGCTTCCCGACGTTTAAAAACTTGCTCACAGTTATGCAAATTCATATACGTGTGCATGTGTATATATCTTTGTTTCGAAATGGGATCAAACTGTGGTCTTTAAAAGCTTCGTATTATTGTGATACGAAAATATAGTGCTAAAACTTACATAATATTTACCTTAGGATGCGATAAAATTGACCACTTGAGCCATTTTAAAGTGTGGCAAAATTCAGTGGCATTAAGTACATTTATACTCTTGCGTTTTGAAAATTATGATGCCTTCAAGCGGCGGAATGCATTTGTTCACATAGTGGTAGAATTGGTACTAGCGTCACGACACCGCCGAGCCATATTTCTGTGAGTATAATTAAAAGAACACATTTTCTTTGCAGTTTATTTTTCATAGTACGCGTTACGAGAAGCCGCAGTGCTCAACAAGTGATATTTGTGCAGAACCATAGCAGAATCGTGTGCATTGGGGCGATTGCTTCTTTTCAAAATGAAAATGTAGTATATAAAAGGGAGGTTTAACTTTTTTAGTATATATTTTTAAAGATTTTATAGTTAACAGGGAGTTTTCAAAGCTAAGGTACAACCACTGTACTGTCTCTGACTTGCATGAGAATGGCCCTCTGTAGGTTAAAAGTGGTGGCCAGGAAAGAGCAGCACCCTGTTTGGAACTGTATGTAGTTCACGAGGTACATTAATTGCAAGGACATGTCAGTGAGTGGTTTCAGTCATAATTTGATGAAGGAATTTCAGAGAACTTGCATTTGTGTACACGTGTGTGTATGTGTGTGTGTATTGCGGGTCTGACGATTGAGGGTGCTCTTATACGTCATGTTAAGGCAGACAAATTTTGGTTAAAAAATGTAATCCTTACTGTAGGTCGAAATGATGGGGATGTTTTGAAGATAAAGCCTCAGTATACTTAGAAAGGAAACTGACCACAGCATCAAAACTACTAACTCTGCCACTTTAAGTTTTCTGAGGCTCCTGTGTCCGGGAAGTATTAGTGCATAAGCATCTGTGATGTCAGACTTGCTTGGGAGTAGACGTACCTAACGTATAGTAACCATAACTTACCTTATTTGGCAGTCTTCAGGATTTTTGTTCAGAAACGATTGGAAAGAACTCCCAGGTGAATCATGATGCACTCTACGAGACTGAATTTTTCAGCTTAAACTTTTCCTTGCCTGATCTTGAACCTCTTCCTTCCTTGTTTTATGCACTGCATCACACCAGACACTGTGTAACATGCCTGTTTTCTTCCTTTCCTGTCTTCCTGTAGGCTCTGCAAGGCAGTGGTGTTTTTTGTTTGTTTTGGTTTCTTTTTGTGTTTTGTTTTTGGTATCCTTATTCTTAAGTAGTCCTTAGTGCCTGGGGCATAGTTGGTGCTCAATAAATAGTAAATTAATAAAGGAATGAATCTGAATTGGAGATAAGAATAACAGTATTTAATATCTTTGCCACTTTTTAAAAAATATTTTATTTATTTCTGAGAGAGAGTGAGAGAGCGACAGCGTGAGCAGGGGAGGGTCAGAGAGAGGGAGACCGAGAATCCGAGGTAGGCTCCAGGCTCTGAGCTGTCAGCACTGAGCCCGAAGCGGGGCTCGAACCCACGGACCGTGAGATCATGACCCGAGCCTAAGCCGGACGCTTAACTGACAGAGCCACCCAGGCGCCCCTGTCTTTGCCACTTTTTAAAAAAAATCTAAGATAGAAATAAATCAGAAAAAAATGACAAGGGTTCTTCCATTCAAAACCCTTTTTCTTGGGGCTCCTGGGTGGCTCAATTGGTTAAGCATCCAACTGAGGCTCAGGTCATGATCTCATTGTGCATGAGTTCCAGCACCATGTTGGGCTCTCTGCTGACAGCTCAGAGCTTGGAGCCTGCTTCGGATTGTGTGTTTCCCTCTCTTTGCCCCTCCCGTGCTCGCTCGTGCGCTCTCTCTCTCTCTCTCTCAAAAATAAACAAACATTTGAGTGAAAACCAAAAACCTTTTTCTTTTGAATTGTAGACTTAGAGAGGATTGTAGAAACTGTACAGAATTCCCTTATATTCTTTAACCAGTTTGCCTAAAGTTAATATCTTGCGTAACCGTAGTACAAGTCATGAGACTTAAGAAATTTACAATGTACAGTGCTATTAAACTGCTGACGTTCATTATAGATAGAGTTCAATAGTTTCTCACTAATGACCTTTTTCTGTCCCAGGATCCAATCTAGAATCCCTTTCCATCATTCCATTTAGTTGCCACGTCTTCTTGTTTTCCTTCAATATGTGGCAGTCTCTCCATCTTTCCTTGTTTTTCATGACCTTGACGCTTTTGAAGTATGTTGTATTGGTATTTTTAGAATGATTTTCACTTTGGTTTTGTCATGTTTTTCCCTGCTTCAATTGAGGATAATGTTGATATGTCTTACTACTGTCGATACTAATTTTGATCTAGTGGTGTCTTCCATGTGTCACCATTGCAAAGATACTGTCTTTCCCTTTGTCACTAGTGATTATTTGGGGGAAACTACTTTGAGACCTTGCATAGTATTATCCTGTTTTTCCTACCCTTTCACCCACTAAGTAGCCTTCTTGGTGGATCTTAACACTGAAAAGGTCTAATTTTGACTTTCATTTCTGTTATTCCTCCTACAGATAGTAATTGGAATATATTCAGAGGAAGAGTTGTGCCTTCTTTCCCTTTGTTTCTTCAGTTAGTTAGAACTGTGTGATGTTGGATACGTATCCTTTGGGCTGTGATGCAGTGCTAATGGTACTTAATTCGTTGCTTAAATTATTGTAGCTTTGGCCACTGGGGGCTCTTTGCAGCGGCTCCTGTGTCACTTAGAGTGTCCACGTCCTTTTTGGTGTCTTTCCCTGACTCTCTGGCACCATACAACAGTTATGTTGTGTCTCCCCTCCCCCAGCCCTGGAGACCACCACGTCTCCACGGAGCCCTAGTTCCTTTCTCCATGGTCATGGTTTATTGGAGAAGGATATTGAGAAACCAAGTTTTGGGCGCTAGCTTTGAGCTCACTTCTTCCTTGTTTTCTGTGTTTAAGTATAAGGTAACACCTTAATTATGTCCTGGAAGCAGTCTTTCCTGTTTCCTTATCAGCATATAAAATAAAGCGTACATGCCTTCACAGTGGTAGGAAAAACCCGGGACTAAGAAGCTGCTAAATGAGGATTTGAAAAGAAAACGAAATTACATTGGGCATGAGCCGAAGAAGCAAAATGACAAGAAAAGAAAACGTCCCTGAAAAATGCCCAGATGATTGCTTGGGGTTTCCCCTGTTTTTACAAAGCCATTGTCATTGTAGGATCGAGACTGGGGTTAAGGCATGAAGCTCTGGGAGATATGGCCGGATAGGCACAGGTTGCCTCCTAGGCCTGGGATGGGTGAAGTTTTCTGTTCTCAAAAGCTGGTTGGGACATGGAGAAACCCTGAGGCCTTAGGAAACCTGAGTTTAACTGGGCAGGTTCAGCTCACTGGCCCCCTGTCTTTACTGTGCTCTGAGTGTCTCCAGGCTCTGAAAGGCCCTGCAGGTCTTGAGCTTTCTCCATGTTCCTGGTTGCAGAGGCCGGGCCAACCCTTGCTCTGATTCAAGGCCTGGAACCCCTTGCCAGGTTCCCTGGCTTTCGCCCTCATTTTCCTGTCAGTCAGCCTTCTCATCATCTTTGTCCACATACCTCAGTGGTCTCTTTGGACATTTCTGTAGCAGCCGCTTGGTGCTCCTTGTGCTGCGGGTCTCCGTTTCCTGAGAGAAGCCTTGGCATTTATGTTTCCTGCTGGGTGCCTGCCTTCAAAACATGTGTCTCTGGGCTCAAGTTCATTCTCTTTAGCCTCGCTGGCGGGTTTCTGGTCACTGTGAGCAGCTTCCTGGTCCTGTCGTACTTGTGTTTCTTCCTCTTGTGCAGTGTGTCCTGCAGGTTTGTTGGGGAAAGTCTCTGTCCCTCTTGCTGTGACTTTCAGCCGCCTCTGAGCCGTCGTTCCTGCTGCTGGGGCTCAAGCTGGAGCCCCTCCTGCTCCTCTCAGCCTTCTTTTCTTGTTGCTGGTCTTCAAGTGTGTCTGTAGGCCTTCAGCCACTTAAGGCTTTACCATTTCCCTCCTTATCCTTTGCATTTGTTTTCTCAAATACTTCTTCTTCTTTTTCTCCCCTCTTTGTCCACATCAAAGCTTCATTTCTCTGCCAGAACTTCAGCTGACTCCTCAGCGTGCATGATCCTTAATGGAGTTCATACCTGACTGACTCTTCATGCCCTGAGAGCAGGAGTGTCGTTTTTTTGTGTGTGTTAGCAGGATGGCAGCGTGCTTTCTGGCGTGAGCCTCTTTCTGTCTGCAGTTAGACATTCTTTTTCATCTGATCTGACAGCACTGGCTGAGTCTGGGGGATGCTGAATAGGTATTGGTTTCCAACCAAGTAGGGGATGGCTTCGGAGTGAAACAAGATCTTTAAACTCCTTTACGGTTGCAGGAGATGGAGTGTGGTTTCAGGGGAAGGTGAACATCATTTGTGACTTGGTGCACTGAGTTATGGGCCATTTTACAAGAGGAACCACCACCTACTATTTAGCTTACCCTTTTTTGTGGACTCTTTGTTTCATCTTTGTTTTGATATTCTTGGTCTTTCTTTTTTCTTGCATG